AAAACGCATCAGGCCTACTTCATATATAAGAAAAATGTTCTAAGTTTGCTTTTACTAACCTGTATTATAACAATCGGATAAGCAATATATATGCTTTCATTTTTAAAAAGTAATTTGTGCTTACATTATTAACGATATCAATCAATTATTTCCTAATTTCTTATACATCATATTTTCATCCATCTTTCCTGCTTATCAATTACGGCCATTTTTGTTTTATCAAAACACATGTGATCCTAACTGTAATCTCATGCGTCTCCTCAGGAGCCTGACTTCATTCCTTTATGCTCTAAGCATAACTGGTTGCAACAAGACCTTTAGCCGATTAAAATGGGCTCTCAGATATTCCAATTATTGCAATTAATTATTCAAATATAATGAGAGCATTCCTTGCATTCGTATTGCCGACTCTTACGAGTTGATTCTTTGCATGAAGCGATGACAAAATATAAATCAACATTAGCCTTTTATTTTATTTAGTACAGTTGATGATGACATTAGTCTTATATTTCATCCTTTCCCTCACCAACGTACCTCCACATATGCAAAAGACACTGCGACAGATAGACCCGATTCAATTACCTCGTGCATGAGACTCAGCTGGCAGCGGTATTCCAGTACGTCGCTTCGGCATCGGTTTGCGCCACCAGCCATCTCCTCAGCAACAACAGGGCCTAAGTTAGCCTGTGCTTCCACGCACTTCGGCGACCGGAGGTTGATGAATCTGACGCAAGGGTGCCAATTGCGGTCCGAACATAAACAACACATCTGAGTCTATACGATTGTGAAAATCGGGCCGTTGGGTTATTTTACGTGACCACCGGTAATCCCCCAGCACACACACAGGACATGTCCCTTACGGCAGACAGTCTAGCAACATTTAAGGCCTGTGTTCATTGGGTCTGCCGCCAGAATGATAGACCTTCCTCGTCTCTCCCACGGCAAATATAGGCAAGCCAACCGAACTGACATGATGGAGATTATCCACTAGGACTGATTGGTCTTTTTCTCCAACCGTGTAGATTACGATCCTGGCATTGGCTGGTCGAAAGGTGAGTAAGCTAAGTTAGGAAGAACATTTGTTAGGACTGACAACGATAACCACTTCATACAAATAGCCTCGTGTCACAATGAAGATGCAAATAGGTCATGATTAGTACGATTAATTAGTCCTGTGAAAATGTTGTGCTATTCAAAATCATACTATTCGAAGCAATTATGGCATATGAAATCGTGTAATTGTTTTCAACCTAATGAATTAGCTCAATAAAAATACCCCGGCAGTACAATTTTCAGAAGTTTTTAGACCTTGTTTTCGCGACTTGGTCATATTGGTAGGAAGATTTATAGGAACGCACCTTGTCCTGAGTCCATTGTATGCATAATTATTTCCAAAGTCGGACCGTGGACGTTGTACATTCCCGGACGTTTCGCCGGCATCGTCAGTGAGTTTTACCATTCGTAGCACCATATTACAACTCGTCAAAGAGACAATACAATGGACTCAGGACAAGGTGCGCTCCTATACGTCTTCCTACCAATATGACCAAGTTGCGAAAACAAGGTCAAACAACTTCTATACAACGCAAGGAAACTGCGGCCACAAAAAAGTCCACACCATCTTGTTCTTCATATCTTCGAGTACAATTTTTATTTCTTTTCTTAATGTAATATAATAGATAAAGTCATTCAAAAAGTATTAAACCCCAAAATTTATTATATCCAAATCACTAGGTTATATAAAACATAACCGCCGACTGTTTGAGCAGTCGACTTTGCAGAAGTTCGACTTCAATCCTGCTTTAATGCTTTAAGTGCTACAGTTGATCCTTGGTTCATATATCGTATTTGCTGGTAATACTATAAACTTAACACTCTTATCTATTTTTGGAGGTGGCTTTCAAACCGCATCAAGTTAAGGCCTCCTTACCTTCTTCCTTCATTTAATCTTCATGTTTTAAAATATTCCTTACCATTGACTCATACAGTCCATTATCTCTGCCAGTTTTGGGCTTGCCTGTATCTTTTTATTACATCAAATTTTTGTTGTAATTTTATCACCTACCGTTTCTTTTTCGCCTCCAATATTTACTTTAGCATCCTCCCTTTGTCCATATTTACCAAGTTGAGGTTACATAATTCTTGATATACCTTACTGTACACATAAAACTGTAAGGCGTGACGAGAACCAGCATGTGCGTAAGGGGCAACGGCCTCCGCTACCCTGTAGACTTAAAGAAGGCTCAAATGTAATGCCGCCTGGTGCCAATTTCTAACTCGTACCTAATCAAATTCCAAGCTATTCGAACTCGCATTAATCGCAATCTGTCTGTACTTCTACATCGGTATGAGCGCATTTTATAGAGGCCTGATCAACCCAATCATCGAATTAAAGTGGACTCCTGAATCAAAAGGGTAAAACAGAGACTATAAATACACTCAATCCGATTCTCACTCATTCATGAATAGGATAATCTAACTGGACAATAAGCTGATGCGACTGCATTTACTCGGCTCATCATCCTTAGCCGCTTCACTGATGAAAGGCCTAATTCCTACTCTGCACCCTTATTTTGCCACTTCCGAACGTCCACTGACCTCAACACTTGACAAATCAGCACAATGCCATCCAGCAGAACATTTATCGCCAGGTTTCGCCTTTTGCACAGAAAATTCTGGATCGCACACCCTCAGTCTCCATAGTCATTCCTGGCTCAAGAATGCTGCCGACCAATTACCATCTCTGCCCCCGAACTAATCGTGGTCGCGGAACAGTTCACAGAGGACTTATTCCCGCAAGTTTAAAGTCAAAGCCCCATGGAAATCCTCCTGCTAGCCGTTGTTACGTGCGAAAGGAAAGGTCAACCATTTTGGCACAAATCTGGAAACAATCTTCACTTAAGACGTATTAGTTAAGCAAAAGGAACTCCTAGTTACCATGACTTATTGCTGTGTCGACTTTCAACTTTTGTATAAAAGGGAATGATGGAGAGACGGGGTTCACGAGGCATACTTCATCGTTTGAATGAAACCAGGCTGAGTTTTCGTCCATCATATGAAGGACATCATGAGAGCTTGAACTTATTCTTGCAAATGTCTCGAGTTAACTCTTAGTCAAGAAGACTGTCAGGCTCTGTCCTACATGTTATATACACTCATAGCTAAAAAATGAAAATATAAAAACAGATAGATAGAGATACAATGATTTGGCCAATCCACTTTCATATCAGTCTGTTTGTGTGCGCATGGGTGTGCGTTCACTTCCGTACGCAATACCGGCCCCAAGTCAGAGTAATTGCAAAGGCCTAACTTCACGCTTGCGTCATCAAAGGCTAATTAATGACACGAGGAAAAGCATGACCAAGAATGTGTAAGTCCGTAAGCAACTGGTTAAACATTACCCAAACCTGAAGTTATGCTTTGACAATTACTTTGACTTGGGGCCAGTATTTCGTACGGAAGTAAGCACATGCTTATACACACACACATATATAGATAGGCACACGCAAGTAAAAGTATCATGACTAATATGAAAGAGAACTAACCAAATAATTATATATCTTTTTATCTGTTTTCCTATATCTATATATGTTTGTTCTTTAGTTAAGAGTATACATAATATGTAGGATAGAGCCCGATATACTCATTGACTTAATGTTAACTCGTGATTTTGGCAATAATGTATTCAATCTCTGATGATGTCCATCAGTTCGGTTTCATTAAAAACGATGGAGGAATTCTTGTGGACTCCATCAACTTAAGCATCATATTAATACGAAACGGCGGTAGAAAAATGTTCGTCGGTCTTCGTTTTCCGTTAAGATCAGTCAACGAATCTCTTCATAATGCACCTTTATATGAAATGAAAGTCACCACAACAAAGTTGTCTTAGGAGATTAACCTAAACCCGGATGTTCTCCTTATCTATAACTTAATTTGCTCTAAACGAAATATTTGCTAACTTGCCACGTCACCTATTCTTGGCCACAAGCCACATAAATGCTTATTCTCTACCGTTCCCTTCATCCTTACCACACCACATCAGCTGAGCCTCATTTCCCACTCATGGCCCGTGGATAGTCCCGGTGCTTCTGGCTTCGACAAACAGAAGACACGTACACTTATAGCATTGCGCCCAGTTGGGTCTTGCGAATCACTCGCCCTTCACCCTCCTTTCGTATCCGCACTTGTTTCGATCATGAGTCTCTAAACCAGTGATTCCCAAACTGTGAGCCGCGGCCTCTTTACAGGGGCGCCGCGAAATATTGTAAAAGCTTCAAATTGAGAAAATCTGCTGTGATTTACAGGCTCATCCATCACATTAATTATTAAATATTAATTTAATGTCAATAAAGTAAAAAAAATAATGAAGAAACACGAGTTTTATTTATTTTTATCTCTTACTTACGAGTAGTCATACTTAGGGTAGGGCGCCATGAAAAAATTTTAATTTAAAAAGGGCGCCGCGACTAGGAAAAGTTTGGGAACCACTGTTCTAAACTGTTGCTTCAGGCACTAATACTCATTTGTGTTGTTGTGCCTTTAGTTCATTCTAAAAGGCGAGTGGAAGGGATTTTTAACTTGCGTCTGTAGATGGCTCGTGAGATGTATTTTCCTCAGCAAACTCGCTTGCATTTTGTATCATGTTGAAACTTCTGCTTGTCTTTGTGTGCACATGTGTCTTGTATATAAAATGCTCACAAGTCTAGTGTGGCGCAAGAGCTCTGACTAAATCTCAGTTTAAGAAAACTCCTTCTCATTACTCGACGGCCCCTCCTGTCCTCTCTTCCTCTCTTAGCCTGTCCAACAGCCGCAGTATTTCACACTCTTTCATTCTACTGAGTATGGAGGCTGCTTTGTTCATCTTCATGGATTTTCTAGTCTTCCCCTTAGTTAGGAAATCTAAATTACCTCTAGAAAACTTGATCATATGTCAGTATATCTAGTATCCTTTGCTAGCAATGCTTTCGACATTTGGATCTACGAGCCCTTGCAGGCTGTTTTACATTTAGGTAGCTTATTCTGTAAAGTCCACAGATCTCATTCACGCACACTCCGACTTATGGACACAAAAGCTTTCAGCAATCAGAGCTGGAAAAAGGCCCAACATAAATATTTGGTTACTTTTATCCAGTAAAGAGTTTTGTTTCTAATACATATGCTACACATTATCAGAGCTTCTTAAACTATTATGCCAGCTACTGAAAATGAGGCTATGCCTTAGCTTCTTATGCCAGAGAACACTATATGCCGCAACCTATCTTACATGTTGATATTGGATACCGAAATACTTGAAAGAAA